AGCTACTTTATTCCTTGGAGAGGGACATCATGCTTGGGAAGGTGGAGGGATGGAAAAAGAGAGGAAGATCCTCAACCTGGTGGATTGAGGACTAAGCAGCAACGGGCCTCAGTGTGTCAAAGATTAGGAGGATGGCACAAGGTGAGACGATTCAGGGCTGCTGTTCTCAGGTTAGTTAAGCATGGTACTCGACAGCACTTAACAAAGACAACGACGACCCCCTACTCTACTGTATAGCTTCCCCCTTCACCTCACCCTTTCCCTTCCTGGGGGAAGGAAGGGCCCTGAGTGCCCGCTGGTCCATGCTGGGGACAGCTTGTACACTAGGCATCAATGTGGCAGGTGACACGTCTGGAGCTGCCAGAGTGGTGTGCTGCTGCCCTCTAGTGGGAGCAGACCACAACGCAGCTGACTTTGGTCCTGCGGTCAGTCTGGGCGAGCTCAGTGCTAGGGAGTATTTGAGTGCTGGTTATTCATAGTGACCTGATGTGACAGAGTGGGGCTGCCCGGTAGTGCTCCTGGGCTGTGATCTCTACCTAAGAGTGTGCAGAGCCACCAGGAAATTCAAATCATCAACAGCTGAGCGCGTGACCACTGTCCCACCACATACTAACACTCACTTCACAGCAAACACACAGTAAGACGAAAATACAATTCACAGTCCAATGAAAACCAGCCGCGCTGCCATCAAGTTCAATTCCAATAACAAGCCCCCATCAGGTTTCTCGAGGTGAAACCGGGATGGGAGGAGACTTCTCATCCTTCTCCCGAGAAGTCGCTGGTGGCTTTGCACCACTAATATTAAGCTACTTTTAGGTCAACAGCAAAATACACCACTGATTATACAAACAGAGCTCCATCAAATCACAACAGAAGTGCCCAAAAGATTCAAGTGGGACACCCTAACCCTATCCCTAACCCTAACCCTAACCCTAACCCTAACCCTAACCCTAACCCTAACCCTAACCCTAACCCTATCCCTAACCCTCACCCTATGGACAGTTATGGCCCAAGACTCTTAGCCTTTGCCTGCACTGTAGTTCCATCACCCTGGAACCATGCCTGACTCCCCGAAGCCACGTCATATGCTCAGAGCCTCCTGCTGCTCTGCCGACTGGGGAGATCTGGCCCCCCGAGGTAACAGTGTCTAATGCCTTCCACGCTCTGTCCCAGGTGTAAGTACAACACTTACCCAGCAGGTGCGTTAACTGAGCGATGTGTAACCTCCCATCCAGCTTACTTGCTTTACAGCTTACTCCCTTCAGCCATCACGATGGGGAGGCCAACGGTGGGGACAAGACATATCACCCACCATCAGCCCTCACCAGCTAAATGCCCTCCATGGTGGACGGCTGTGCCTCGCAGATGGGGCTGGCAGAGGTACAAGGCGTGACCCTTGGATTTGGGCATCTATTCTCTGCGTATGTCCTTGGACGGCTCCAGGACACACCAGCAGCTCCAGCATTGGAACTACAATCATCTGGGACCTTCAGTGACATGTCCTCGGTGTTGGGTGGTTGGGGGGAGAGGAGTATGGCCAGGCACCAGCATCTGCCTCCAGGTGAAGCAGTCTCTGACATGACTACAGCTATGTCACGTGCCTCGTGTGTGACTCCCAGTCAGAGGCGGAGTGCTGGAGTTCACTGGAAATCTACCACAGGCAGTAAATTCTGGGGGCCACTGGGACCCTCTGCTCCACACTTAGTTGTTCATTCCAGTCCCAAACTATTGCCACACAGGGGATGGAGGCAGGGTATGAAGGGAGAGGACCCAGACTTCACTCCACAGGGTCTGTGATCCGGGCAAGGCACCCAGCCTCGCTCAGGCATTGACATTTATAAGTACATGTCATTCCTTCTACTAAACTGTGCCTCTTGGAAGCCCTGTGTTCAACACATCTCTTCTAAATATTTCTTGAAGACTCAAACAAAGCACTTGTCCCATAAAGATTAGTTAAGGGAGCAAGAAAGGAAGGAGAAGATGAGAGAGACATGTACTGTTCACTGAGAGCTGTGTGTCCTCTGGCCCCTGCCAGCTCCTATGTGGCTGGGTAGGAGACACGGTTAGTTTTGCTTACAGGGCACAGTGAGGTGATGCATCTGAGCCAAAGCACAGGAGTAGCACATGGCCACCTAGCTCTGTCCCTGGCCTCCTGGGCCACCTGGATGCCAGGGCCACACAATGAAAGCCCACTGGACCCTTAGCTCCTAATACGGAAAGAAGCTGCCCTGAAAAGCAGTTAGACCCCTGGCAATTTGAAATGAGCATTCTCAATGGAAAGCTCTGAGCTTTGGGGGTTTAATGTCACACCTTGCCCTATCACACCATATACAGAAGATAATGGCAGGAACTGTATGTGTCTAAGTTTGTGTGTACACGCACATACATGTCCCAGAAACACATCACCAAGGGCACAGCTTGGCTCCCAGGGACGCTCTGCAGGGAAGCTGCTAGAGAAACACATTGCAGATGGACAGATGAATAAGACAGATTTTTCTTTGAACTTCAAATGCAAATTGTACCACCACTGAGTCACATTCCAACTCATAATGACCCTCCACCGGGGATCCAAGGCTGTAAATATTTATAGAACGTGACTCTCCATCTTTCCCCACGGAGTGGGTGGTGGATTCCAACTGTTGGCCTTTTGGTTAACATCTCACCATGCTATGCACTACGCCACCCGTTAGGCATAATCATGACTCTGGTCTCTTCAACATTCACTCGCTAAGAATGTCTGGGTTTTAAAATCACTTTGCATATATATAAGTTGTACAGGGAGAAAAAGAATTGAATTAAAAGTCATTTTTATGGAAAAAAAAAAGAATGGCAGGTGCTGGGTTACAAGGTGAAAGAGACACAGCCGGCCTCAGCCAGCCTGCTGTCCAAGGAGAAAGACAAACCACTGAGCAGGCGTCAAATGCTGCAAGCCCTCCACAGGGGTGGGACTAGGCCGGCTGGGGAGCTGGACTATGAGACTGAGCCCTGTGCATCTAAGAGCACCACAGAGGAGGTGTCCTGAGACAGGACAGGGAGTCGTCAGGAGAGGAGGGGCCTGAGAGACAGCATAGAAATGACAGATGTGGCGTCCGGGGGGAGGGGTTAGCCGAAGCACAGGCTAAGTGGGGTGAGCTGGGACAGGGCCAGGTGGTGGTCCGGGTGAGGTCACAAAGGTCCTCCTTGCTGAGGGACTGAGCAGGGAGAGAAGGCAGTGGGAGGGTGCAGGGGGAGGTGTGAGGTCAGAGATGGAGCCCGGGCTTCCACGGGTTGGAAAGAGGCTGGTGGAAGAACTAATGCTTCTACAACTTCCACGGGAGTGTTGGGGGCCTGCAAGCCAGCACTGGGAGTTCCTGCCCTCGTGGTAGTCTTCGATCAGGTGATAGCACCCTGGGATGTTTGGAAATGTTCCACAGTGACCACCAGTAACACCCCTCATCACTTTCACTGCCACCTCTCACTATAAAATACAAAGGACAGTAAACACTAAAGCCGTGCACATCAGGAATTTCCCCACCACATATGCTAAAGCGAGGTGAGTTGATTTCCTGAGTCCAAGCTTTCTGTGGAACCAGGACCCCCATCAATGAAGGGATTCAGAGAACTCTGGGAAAAGACAGGAACATCCTTCCCAGGACCCCAGCTTCAGCCACCAGAGCGCTATTCTTGGGGATCAAGGGGACTGGTACCCTTGTTCCAATGGCACCCGGGAAGGGCACAGCCACCCGAGTTGAGGCTGAGTTACGGGCATCATCAGTTATCACACTAGGTTTACAAGGTGGAAAAACTCCCAAACTCAATGAACCACAAAGCTCCAAAATAAAGCTGCTCCGTAAATGTCGGGAAATGTTGGGGAGGAAGGGAGGGCCTCTGGCCAGGACAGATGCCTAAGCTCCTGATAAGTGCAAGCCTCCTAACAGCCTTTAATACGGGGTAGAGAAAGCTCCCCTGTTTGGTTGTACCGGCTTGAGAAAGCTCACCACCTTGGAAGACGGCTGTGTCTGTTGAGCTGGGAGTGGTCCGCACGAGGCTGAGGTTCTCCTATCCAAGCCACATGTCCCATGTCCGTAAGCCCACCCTATCCTGTCTTCCTGTTTTCTTGCTTGTATATAAGTGAACTGCAGCCCCCCAATAAAATTGAGTTGGATTGACTCTCTGATCGGCTCCCAGAGTGGTACGTCTCCATCATGCTTACCCCCATCAGGGTGTTGCTGTTTGTTGCCGGTGAACGTACAGCGACAAATAAACCCCAAGGAGAAGAAAGAGAAAGACAACCCACATGCACCTTAATCCAACTGCTGAGCCCTTAGCCAGAATATGAGCTGGCTAAAGACACAGACACAGAACACACAACTGGGGTGTCACAAAGGAGACAGGAAGATAAGAGGTGCAGGAAAACCAACAAGTCTCGGGAGGGAGAAGGGGACCCAGTGGAGAGTGGCTGCAGGTCACCAGCAGTGGCTAAGTCCAGGGAGGAGGGTCAGCCGCTGGTCCACCCCTGGAAGCTGCAAGATTCTTCCTGTTCCTGCCACATCTGGCTCTTGGCCCACCGAGAGGCCTGGGTTCAGGATTTGCTGAGTGAGTCCTCTGTCCCAGCCTGGCCTGGCCTGATGCAGGGAACAGAACTAGATCAAGGACATGCTCAGCAGACACCGGACGTCTGCAGGACAAAGCCACTTTTTAAGAGTCTAAAAACAGCCCTGCCCACAGCGGGGACCCAGCAGCCTCAGAACTTCCAGTCAGCTGAGGTCTGAGCTCAGGGCCCACTGCATCTCTGTGGTACATCTGGCTTCCACCAGGCACCTTGGCAGAGCAGAGAAGGGGGTATCGCACACATGGTCATAATGGGGACACTCTGGACTGTAGCAGGTGCGCGCCCTGCCCACCGTTCACTGTTGTACCCGGGTGATAGGGGGCAGTGTGTGCACAGACCCTGCACTGTGATGGATAAAGACAGATGACAATGGGACTGGGCATGGTTGAGGGCTCTGCCCCTCACCTACCTGCCAGACTGGGAGGACCTTCTCGATGTCATTCAGGTTGATTCCTTCTCCATCTTCCAGCTTTCCTTTGCCATACCTGGGCCAGAAAAGACAGCAGACATTGAGAGAGTGGTTCATTCACAGTCCTGTCCCAGCCAGGCCAGCAGGTGGTGGTGGGGGGGGAGATGGCTGGTCCTGTCCCCTAACCCCCACCACCGACCCCCGCTCCCAAAGCCTGCAGAACCAACCAGAGAGTTGTGGCCCTAGGGATATGGCCCTTTGTCCCAGGCCTTCTGAGGACACAAGGCTCTGTGCAGGCAGGAACCTGGGCCAATCTAGGGTCACTACTAGGACGGCCAACAGGCAGGGAGGGGAGAAGTCCTAGAGTTCTCCTTGACCTTGCCTGACCTTGATGTGCAGATCCATGCATATGAACAGCTCAGAGCCTGTCACATCCCCACCAGAGCACATCAATATCCCAGCAGAGGCCACCCTGCTCGCCCATTTACACCGAAGGGGAAACCAGTGAACAGAGAGGCAAATCTGTCTCCAGGACACACATTCTGAGAGGGGCCTGGCTGTGGCCCAGTCCAGCTAGTCTCCTTCACGAGTGTAGGCTTCATCTGCGTGTAGCCACAGCCGGAGAGGCCCCTGAGTCACTGGGCAGAGTCTGCTCCTCTTGTTTATCAAGGTGCAGACCTGCTCACTTGAACCCCAGCTTCCTCCTTTACAGACTCATGCAATTCATGTAACCTCTCAGTACCCCACTTCCCTCATCTGTGAGACAGGAATAATGGAAGTGCCTAACCCTTTAGAAAGGAGCCCTAGCAGTGTAAGGGTTAACTGTACAGCTGCTAACTGAAAGGTTGGTGGTTCTAGTCCAAGTAGCTCTGTGAGAGTGAAGGCCTGGCACCTGCTTCTGTAAACACCAGGAAGTCCTCTGAGGTGGCGCTGCTCTCTCTCATGTGGCCACTGCACGTTGAAATTAACGACAGCAGCTAACCACAAATTAATATTGTAAGGTGTTCATCTATTTCTTCAGCAAACGCTTCTGGGCTGAGACTAGGGCATAGGACCCAGGTGTCAAAAGTGCTCAGGACTCAAAGTTGGCTTTGAGGTCAAGGTCCCCAACTCTGCAGGGTGAGTGCAGCTGTGTCGGCAGCCAGCAAGGGGCGACAGAGGAACGTGGAGGGGCAGTGTCTGGACCAGAGGGAGGCGGGGAGGCTCCCTGAGGAAGAGATGCCCAGGCCACTGGGAGCTGCCCAAGCTCAGAGAAGGTGGGGGAAAGTTCCAGGCAGCAAGAGGGGTCAGCACAGGCCTGGAGCTAAGCACAAACTGTGCGGTGAGCAGGGTCTGACCTGCCCACAGTCACCTAGGGCATATCAGTGTGAGAAGGTGGGGAGAGAGGAGTGCGTGGAGGTGGAGGGGTGAGGCTTGAAGGGCACCTGAAATGCTGGTGCTGTGGTGCCTTGCAAGAGGCAGGTATAACAGGAATGGGGAAAGAGAAAATCGTGTCCTCACTCGACTCCATGGTGTACTGGGCTACATCATGGAACATTATTCAACCATCCTTAACTTGAGAAATATGCCTGGTGGTGACTGGCTGGCCTGGGAAAGCACCGCCTGATTTTAAACCCTCTGTGTTTGGTACAGGGCACAGCAAGCAGAGAGGGCTGGCGAGGAAGGCGCTGAGCATTCCTGGCCAGACTTGATGGCTGGCACCCCTCCCTCTCATGCCATGCCTGGAGATACCACAGCTCAGCTCACCATATTCCCCTAAGGCAGCCCCCAGCGTGCACTGTACTCGGGCTACTTGCCTGACACCAATAGGACCTATAAACCTGTCACCTCAGCAGCCCCTCAGTGAGGCAGGGGACAGAGGAAGCTGGCCATTCCTGCCTCCAAGCGCGGCAGGTTTGGAAGGCGGAAGGTTGCTGTAGACCAGCAAAGTCATTGCTGCTGCCTGCGTTTCCAAGGCAACTGCATGTTCTGATGCCTGTCCCTCCATGGAAACAGGGACTGCAGGAGTCCCTGAGTGGTGCCCTGAGTTCTTGCATCCTCTGGGGATGCTGCAGTGGCTGGACCACCGGATGGATCCCTTGGGTACCACGGAACTCTAGAGCCCTGCAGTTCCCGGCCCAGCCACAAGGAGACCCCAGGAAGCTGCATCCAGACTCCCCTGGAGACAAGCAGTTTGGCTGGAAAATCAGGTGTCTCAAGGGAGATGATGCTGGAGCCTCAGCCAATGGTCAGTGCTGCACAAAGTGACCGTCACTGTGGCATCAGAAGGCACTACGCCCAGCCAGCACAAGAGGAATCTTCCCTTCCTGAGAGAGTCGTTTATCTCTACTGCCATAGATTTGTGTGGAGGGGAGTTGACATCTTCAGAAAGCCTGCATCCAGCACCTGTCTGCTGTGGTCATTCACTGTGTTCTGGCTTCTGGTCTCTGGGCCTCAGTTTCCTCATTGGCTCTACTATGTGTAGACAGGGGAGATGGGGCATTACAGCGAAATGCAAGGCTTCCCCAGACGACTCACCTTGCGAGTTCCCATTCCTTTAGACCTGTTGGCATTTATTGTCATTAACCACCCACCTGGCACCTTCTTTTACACTCCTTACCCCCCTAAATGTCTAATATCTACACAGCTATTTCCTTGCACAGTTTCCATCCTGAGCGGGCTCATATTTTCTTTTGCCAGTAGTCCTGCTGTGGGGGTGTATTTATTATA